GGCCCATTTCCGGCTCCGCCGCCATGAAGAAGGGTTACGAGCTTCTCAAGGGAAGAACCCAGATGGGGATGGTTCTGGTTTTCGTCTACCTGATACTCTGCACGTTGATCGGAGGCGTTTTCAGATCCGTGGTGGTTCACGGAGGCGAAAACCATGGGATCTGGACGAGAATTGTGATCGGCGGGTCACTGGTAGGGGTTCTAGTGATCGTGAATCTGGTGGGATTACTGATACAGAGCGTGTTCTACTACGTCTGCAAGAGTTACCACCGGGAATCGATCGATAAAACGGCTTTGCACGACCACCTCGGAGGATACCTCGGAGAGTACGTGCCTCTCAAGAGCAACATTCAGATGGAGAACCTGAATGCTGCTGCTTGATGACATGACAAACCCTGGTATTGCCTTCTGTTTGGAAGCAGTTTTAAGGTTTGAATAATCTTTGTATGCCGAGATGGAGTTTTTGTATATATTGGTTTTTGCTGTATGTGTACGCACGCAACCGAGATTACTCGTTATCCCCTTTTGTTCATATCCTCGATTTGAAGCCATTTATCGAGTCCTTTGAAAACCAATCGGTTTAATTGCAATCGCAATAAAATATAATAAAATCTAATTGTTGCTCTTTATCTCTACGTTTCTGGTAGAAATTTGTATGGCTTGCTAAAAAGGATCATAATACCCTGGTTTTTAAATTGGTCATGTATTTTTTTTTGGTAATTTACACCAAATGTAATTTTTAATCTTAATTTCATTCATGTTCCCGATGAAGAACGACTTATTAATGTCTTTTTAGGGTTTTTGTAGATTAAGGTTATTGTTTTTTTTCTGGTTTGTTTTGGCAATTTTTTTTATTATCGGATCCTCTCTGTTTCTGTCGAGCAGATCCTTAGACTGTTGGTGGATACGGCATGTTTTTATTAATTTCATATTCTTTTAGAAATTAGTTGTTTTAATTAAATAAAAATATATATATGAAATGTTTGAATACGTTCGGCTTATATATATATATATATATAAACAAAAAAATCTTCAAAGGTTTTCGATTTCAATTTGGGGTTTGAATTGCAATTAATCTCCATGAGGGAGATTGGGCCATGGGCCCAAAAAGTTTCGTCGTCCGACTCACAAGGCTATTTCTGTAATTTTGTAAATACAGTGAGGATGTTGAAATTATGAGGTTTTATTTATTTTATGTATAAACTCTTCCTGGTAAGCTTTTCCCCGCAACATGTTTTAATTGCGTAGAAAATTCATTTTTCTGTCTAAAATAATCTCGAAAATAGGCAGCTTTGTTTTGTTGACCTTTAAATATAATGTTGGAAATAAAAGGAAAGAGATGTGATCATTTGAATTTTGAAGATGATAATATATAAAATTGTGGAGAAAAGTCTGACTATAATTATTTAAATAAAAAAATTGCATGATTCAGAAATAAACTAAAAAGGTTATCTGAATATCTTATTGTTAGCGAAATGAGATGTACCCTCTCGTTAAACATGTAGCAAATGTATATATAATCGATATAAATTTTTTATATTTTATCTTAAAAGAAAAAAAAAACTGATTTAATTTAATAATTACAGTCAGTATCAACGAGGTGTACCATTTATGTAAGGGCTAAATTGGAATTTGTTTTAAAATTGGGAAGTGGTAATTACAGAAAGTAAGTAAAACCATCATGATTAATAATTAATTACCCAAATTTACCCTTTTTTCTAAGACTTTATATGTGATTTAGTGAATAGTATTTATATAAAAAAATCCACATAAAAGAATACGCTAAAAACCTATTAACTAAGGAACAGTCAGCTAACCAACATTTGTTTTACTGTATGCGTAAGTTTCTTCGTAAATCGGTTGGAGAACAGTAAATAATAAACACTTGTTGTTAAATTGTAACTAAAAAGTAAGTTATTGAAATTAAAACTTTATAATACATTAATAAAGTCTATAAATAAATTCCAAAATAACCTGTGAGCATCTGAAAATATCATTGTCCGGCAAGAAATTGACAACCTTGTAAGACCTAAATCACGTTTTAGGTTTACATCATGAGGTATATTCCAAGATTCCATTGTTGGATACTCGACAATGATAACTTTACAAAAAAAAAATCTAAGAAATATCATTAAATGGTAAAACAAAATGAAATATCACACACACATATATACATATATATATATATAGGATTAAAAATGTGAATAAAGTGTTTATTAGAAAGTATCTGAGATGAATGTTAACCGTTGGGATTAATTAATTGATTGAAAATTTTGAAATAACCCTGAGGAATTTTTTTTTCTTTCAAAATGGGTCATTTTAAAAATTTCCAGTTCAATGAGAGAGTAACATTTTTAATATATGCTTTAAGATTCTGTCTTTTTAAGTTAGGATTCTGTCTTATTAATCATATGATTAGGACTTCGAAAAAAAAAATCATAATTACGTGTGGAAGATCGTGGACTGACCTAACTATCCTTGTAAATAAATAAATATACAGATACACACATCACATCACACGTATATGTATATCTCACACGTGCACACACACATACGTGTATATATATATATATATATATATATGCGTATCAATGTTGGATTCTGAATATGCGCCCGACATGCTGCCCGACATCTCCAATGAACCCGTGCCACGTGCCACTATTAGACTCATTCCAATAATACGTGTAGGGTGTAACAATCAAATTATGTTTAATATAATTTAAATTTTTTTGTGTAAATTCATATAAAAAGGGGGTCCATTTTTTAAAATTTGTCATATAGAAAACGGCCCACAAGGACAAGGTCTAGATGGGAGGGTGAGTACGGTCGTGGTCCAATCCAATCTCTGTAAGATATACAGCTCAACTTTCTTTGTCTCTTTGCAATTCCTTTGTCAATGAATTTTGGAGATGAACTATCTCGATTTTTATTTTTTTCCCATATTATTTCTACTAGTTTTCCAATCTTATATTGGCATTTTAAAATTTTTATTATATGTTATATATATAACTATATCATACCATAAACTTTTCAACCGCATCATAAATTATATCATTTTTTCATAAATACTACATATATAAAACGAACAGTTAGTATTAAATTTTAAAGTTGTACAGTAAGTTTATTTTCTTGTTAGATTTAACTGCGAAACATGTTAACATGTAACATGCATTTCAATTTCAATAAGCAATATCGCACTTAGAATTATGTAAGTAACTATTAATAAACATGTTGCCATTATTTGCCCGAAAGGGTAAGTGCGAGATCACGAGATGTTACCTAAAATGGACCGTCATATGCGGCAAAGCCAAACCTTTTTAATATACACAATAATACAAATATTACACGGTGGAGAAACTTAGGGTGATAACCATTTTTTTTTATTTTTTAAAAGAAGAGTAAATTCTATTAAATTAGTAGCCGAGCTTATTCATATATAGTTTATTAAATTGAAAATAATACCATATCGACACAACTAGTGCGTGTGGGTCGGGATTAGTCTGGGCCCTTTGGACCTGGGATTACCCGGTTATAAAAAAAAAAAAAATTATAAGTATTTTGTATAATGGGTAATTGCTAAAAAATCATTTATTATTCTCAATGCGGTTCAATAAAGGAAAAGAGCACGTGGTGGGTGAGAAACAGAACATTGAAATTAATTGTGTAATTATAAAAAATGAAAATACATAATCTTTGGGAGGTACAGCATATTGAAAAATATTCTCATTAATATGGTTATAATTTACCCTAGATATGATATTTAAAATATTTTATTGTATTTTGCTATATATCAATATGTATTTTACAAATCATCAATGATAGAAAAACATTCTCTTATATCACATATGATATTTCCTCGTTAATTAACCATTTTATAATTTATGTGACAAATGTTCTAAACGATTTTTGATGAAATTCTAAAACCGTGCATAAAATAATTTTACAATTTCACTGGTTTGTCTACTAAACACAATTAAAGGGAAAGAAGCTGCATTTTAATTCATGGAAATAAAAAAATTGAAACCATTCTACCCATAGAGTAACGACAAATATATTATATTCAAATTTTTATTTATACATTGATTTGTATTTTAAAATAAATTGAGTTACTGCCAACAAAAAAATGGTTCATTAAAAAAATATTGATATTTGAGATTTGATAATAAATCTTCATTTGAATACTCTAATGAAAAAAAAAATCTTAAAATTTGATAATATGTATCAATGCATATTATCACAAAAACATCATCATTTAGTTCGAAGAAATTTAATATATATATTTTCTTTTCAAAATTTGATATACAAATAAGTATTTTTTTCTAAGCTCATATTACAAATAAGAATAGAATTTATTGTGGGCGTTTCGGTTCGGTTCTTCGATTTTTCAGAACTGAACCGTTCTTCTTGAACGATATTATTTTTAGAAAACTGAATTTTTTGAAAGCGACCCGAACCGAATTTTAAAAAATCCCAAAAACTAATTTTTTTTAAATCTAGCTTTTTTTTAAATAAAAATCGAAACCCAACCGAATCGAAAATAATATAAAAACTGATTGATACTTATTTTTATAAAAACCGAAAAAAACAAATTGATATATTTCCGTCCCAAAACCGGAACGCCCATGGTGCTTCATGTAAAATCGAAAATTTTTTGACAGCTTAGTGAAAAAGAACTGTTATTTACTTTTAAAAAAATTCGAATATAATTTCGATAATTCCGAAACATGTTGTATGACTATGGATTTTATGCCCAATAATTTAGTCACTCCACGTTCGTCCCTGTCCAGAATCTCATGTGATCTCTCTCTCTCTCTCTCTCTCTCTCTCTCTCTCTGCAGCAGCCAGCAGCCTTTGGGAGAGGGAAAGTTGCCTTGTTGCCCTTCGAATCAGGAGCTCTCTGTTTCTTCTATATCTCTAAGCTGTCAGAGAAAGACACGATATTTTTAGAAAATCTGAATAGACGAAACAAAAGATTGGTCCTTTTTCTCTCTCCTTCCCGATAACTCTTCAAATCCGTTTCGCCATTTCAGCTGCTTGGAAATTCAAGATTTTTACTGGGTTTTGTGTTGTTTTGATTCAATGGTCCTGAACTGAGCAGGACCCACCAAAGGAAATGCCCCAAAACGCGAAAGACGATATCCATTCAAAGGGGAAAATTTTCAGCCGTTCCGGAATCTGGGTTCGTTTATCCTCCATAGACACAAGCCCGGGTTTCTGGTGTTTCTCTTCGTGCTCTGTTCTTTCCTTTTTCCCGCGGGAGCTTGGTCTTGCATGTTTAAGAAACGTGGAGCTCTTTCAAAGCCGCCCCGGAACTTGATTTTTGCATATTTAAGAAACGTGGAACCGACTCTTTGTTTTTCCCAAATTTCTTCTTTGGCTGTTTATGGAAACCGGGATTCTGTGGGTATCGATTTCTTGCTCAATCGGGGTATAGTACAGAAGTAGAGATTTACCAAATTTGGTATACTTAGCTCTTTACGAGATTCCTTTGTTTATTTCTTTTCTGAATTTTCCATTTTTTGCTGCCCATGCGACATTTGCAGATTCTCTCAGTTAGGTGGTGGAGAACGTGAGATCTATAGCGTAGTAGCCGCGTTAAATTATGATGGGTTTGAAGTGAGAAACCCTAATCTCAAGGAAATTGAGGGAAAATCAGGTTTTTTATTTTGCTGTGAAGTGAAGATCTGGGTAGAGATTTTGGGGTTCTGGGTTTATAGCAAAAGGGTTGCGTCAGAATCAAAAGTTAGGGTTTCTGTAGAAATGGCAGCAAGAGTAGAAGTATCAGTGGGGTGTGAGATTGATGAAGGGAGTGATGAGAATAGAGGAAGCATGTGGGAGCTGGAGCAGAAGCTTGATCAGCCTATGGATGAAGAAGCAGGAAGGCTCAAGAACATGTACAGGGAAAAGGTATTCCAACAAATGCCGGATTCTCGTTTCGATTCGATCTTGATTTTGGTGTTTAGATGAACTTGAATCGAGATTTTAAGCTTGTAGGATTTTGAATTGCCGTTTTTGTATCGAAATTCAGCTGCCTCACTCCACTGAATGCTGATATATATACTCATCTTACGGATTCTGTCATCTGAGTTTGAAACTTTCCAGTTGTTGCCTCGTTGCTAAACAGTTAAAGATCGGATTTTTGCCTGATGCATGGTGTTTGATCGAAGGAAAAGATAGAAAGGGCGATTTAGTTTTACGGCATTCTTTTCATTGGATCGGTATTTAGGCGTGAATGACGGAATTTCGGCCCGTGCAGGAATTCTCGGCGGTTCTGCTTCTGAAGCTTGCGTTTCAGAGCCTGGGGGTTGTTTACGGCGACTTGGGAACTTCTCCTCTGTACGTTTTCTACAATACATTCCCTCGGGGAATCAAAGATCCCGAGGATATCCTCGGAGCTCTCTCTCTGATCATATATTCCCTCACACTCATCCCTCTTCTCAAATACGTTTTCGTTGTTTGCAAAGCTAATGACAACGGACAAGGTATAACCTTATCATTCGTTTTCCAGGGTTTTTTGGTTTCGTTATAGTTTTTTTTTTCTGACGTATTGTTTGTGAATGATCTCTTTTCGGTCACAGGTGGAACATTCGCTCTGTATTCGTTACTCTGTAGACATGCAAAGGTGAAAACTATCCCGAACCAACATCGGACGGACGAAGAGCTCACAACTTACAGCCGTTCCACTTTTCACGAGCATTCTTTCGCCGCGAAAACAAAGAGATGGCTGGAGAACCGCACGATTAGGAAAAACGTGCTCCTCCTTCTCGTTCTTGTTGGCACTTGCATGGTGATCGGTGACGGAATCCTTACTCCCGCCATTTCTGGTACGGAATTCATACACTTTAACCCACAAATATATGTTTTACGGTAGTTATATATCGCGCCATCGAACTTAACGTAACGTTAATCCGTGCTTAAATTAAAAGATTCTAATCAATCATACCCCTTTTTTTGCAGTTCTTTCAGCAGCTGGAGGGCTAAGGGTAAACCTTCCACAAATAAACAACGGTATTACCGTTCTTATTTCTAATAATGTTATCATTCTAACGTAAACGGGCATTAATGTGATCAATAAGAAATACGGGGGTTGAAATAGGAACGTCTCTAATGATACACTTTGCCTCGTGATTATTACAGGTATCGTTGTTCTTGTCGCGGTTGTGATATTAGTAAGCTTGTTTAGCGTACAGCATTACGGAACCGATAGGGTCGGCTGGCTTTTCGCTCCCATCGTTCTTCTCTGGTTTTTATTTATCGCGAGTATCGGTATATACAATATCTGGAAACACGATATCAGCGTATTGAAAGCTTTTTCCCCGGTTTATATATATCGATACTTTAAAAGAGGAGGCCAGGATCGCTGGACATCACTCGGAGGCATTATGCTTTCTATAACGGGTAAAAGAACGAGGATTTTCTCGGGTTCTAGCTATTTTCTTTACTTAGAAATGTTCATTTCGATTCTCTTTTCAAACGTTTCCGTTGTTTTTTGCTTGTGGAAATGCAGGGATCGAGGCCCTCTTCGCCGATCTTTCGCATTTCCCGGTCTCGGCCGTGCAAATTGCGTTTACCATAATCGTCTTTCCTTGCCTTCTTCTGGCATATAGTGGACAAGCTGCCTATCTTCGGAAGAATCCCCACCACGTTAATGATGCGTTCTACCGTTCTATTCCAGGTTTCTTGATCTCCTTCTTTCTCGTTTTTTCAGCTTTGTGGTCGAAGATATCGTCGCCGTTCTTTTGAAGTTTTTCGAATTCCTGCAGGAAGTGTATACTGGCCGATGTTCATCATTGCAACCGCTGCTGCGATCGTTGCGAGCCAAGCCACGATATCGGCTACGTTCTCCATAATCAAGCAAGCGCTGGCTCACGGGTGTTTTCCGAGGGTTAAAGTCGTGCATACTTCCCGAAAATTCCTCGGACAGATATACGTTCCCGACATCAACTGGATCCTGATGATCCTCTGCATCGCCGTCACAGCTGGATTCAAGAACCAGAGCCAGATCGGAAACGCATACGGTAAATTTTCACCCATCACACTTTCCACCTCTACCCACATCATCATTCATCCATTTAGGGCTCGGAAAAAATCCCGTTTTCCGAGTATCCGAGACTATATAAGATGAGATCAAGTTATAGTGTGAAGAAAACCCAAAAATTGGGATTCGAGTTGGGGTTCGAGTTTAGATAATCGAGTCCGAGATCGGGTATTCCCGTTGAGTACTCGGAATGAACAGAAAAATGAGAAATTTTCCCTAGATTTTAGATACATTACATATAAACCTACTAAAATTTCGAGTACCCCTCCGATATATGATATTTATTTTGAAAAAAATTCAAAATGTCGTATTTAAGCTCGGGTTCTGTACCCGATTTTCAGGTATTCAACCAAAAAGGATCCGAGATCTGTACTATCCCGAGATGTTCGGGTTCAGTTAATCCAAAAATCTTTAGTATGCGATCCATGTCCACCTGATTCATCAATCATCGTGCTTACTCTTCGATTCTTTGCAGGGACGGCGGTTGTGACAGTGATGCTGGTAACGACGCTGCTGATGACGCTGATAATGATACTGGTGTGGCGTTGCCACTGGATTCTGGTGCTACTATTCACCGTCCTATCCCTCGTCGTGGAATGCACCTACTTCTCCGCCATGCTCTTCAAGGTCGACCAGGGCGGTTGGGTTCCTCTTGTCATCGCTGCCGCTTTCCTCGTCATCATGTACGTCTGGCACTTCGGAACCGTCAAGAGGTACGAGTTCGAGATGCACAGTAGAGTTTCCATGGCTTGGATTCTCGGCCTCGGCCCTAGCCTCGGGCTCGTTCGAGTCCCCGGGATCGGCCTCGTCTACACCGAGCTGGCCAGTGGCGTCCCGCACATCTTCTCTCATTTCGTCACGAATTTACCGGCGATTCACTCCGTCGTGATCTTTGTCTGCGTCAAGTACCTTCCCGTTTACACCGTCCCCGAGGAAGAACGGTTTCTCGTTAAACGAATTGGCCCGAAATCCTTCCACATGTTCCGCTGCGTCGCCAGGTACTACTGTCTGAAACACGACGCACATTACTGTCGGAATCTTTGATTAGCTTGGAAAAATAAAAACGAATGGCTCGAATATCCGATCCATTTCCACCTCGTTGATTCATCGCGTGATATGTCTTGTCGCAGGTACGGGTACAAGGACTTGCACAAGAAAGACGACGACTTCGAGAAACGCCTCTTCGAGAGCCTCTTCTTGTACGTAAGGCTCGAGTCCATGATGGAGGGCTGCTCGGACTCCGACGAGTATAGCCTCTACGGGGCGGCGCAGAGATCGAAAGAAGGGGATGGGAACGGGAACGGGAACGAGAGCGGGAACTTGACAACGATGGACACGTTCGACTCGATGGATTCGATAATGCCGACGGCTGGAAAGAGGGCGAGCCACACGGTGACGGGGTCGAGCGGAGGAGGGGAGGAGGACGAGCTGGAGTTCCTGAACGGGTGCAGGGACGCGGGAGTGGTTCATATAATGGGGAATACGGTGGTCCGAGCGAGGAGAGAGTCGAGGTTCTACAAGAAGATCGCCATTGATTACGTTTACGCTTTTCTGAGGAAGATTTGTAGGGAACACAGTGTTATCTTCAATGTTCCTCAGGAAAGCCTCTTGAACGTCGGTCAGGTTTTCTATGTTTGATTTTTTACGTAATCCTCCTATATACACACACACGTGTGTATGTGTATCTGTATCTGTATGCGTGTGTGTGTGTATATATATATATATATTATGTGTATGTTGTGTTGTGTTAGACACTGTATGTAATTTAAATTACTCGATGTGGTACTATTTGCAGTGGAAATGGGAAATTTTGGAGAACGATTTGGATATTGGGCTGAACATTATTACGGGCCCAGATGGGCCCATCATAAGCCCATCGCGGATCCGTGGAAGTAACGCGCTTTAACGCGCGTGTGCACACAATGAGTGCTCTAACGTAAGACGGAAGCGCCGCTGTATCTGAATCAGCGAATGACTTGATTACGTATGCCGTTGAGTTAATATACAATTATAGTTTATATATATAGATAGTGATGATTGTAAGTATACATAATGACGAGTTATGTAATCGGAAAATTCATGGATTAGGATAAATAGCTTGACGTGCAAAGTCATAGAAGTAATTAAGAAATAACATAACAATTTTTTTTTAAAGGAAAATGTAACATAACAAAATTCATTACCGAAGAAAAAACATAACAAAATTGGGAATTATATAATTCCATTAAAAGTCAAAATATTTTAAGTGGGTTATGCCTCCGTGTCGCAATATATACACTAAAAATTTAGATAAGAAACTTTTTTTTTTTGGGTCAAAGGTTGGAGTTTCCGTTACTTCCGAATTTGTACAAAATGCTTTTTCCAATTAGATAATAAACTTATATTTACCTTTTCTAATATTTCAGTTTTGTTAGACATGGAAATTGCCGATGGACAAAAAAGGATTGGACATTAATTACGTAATAATATATAAAATGTTATTTATACTTATCTCTATATTTTAGTCTAAGTGGTAGCTCAGATTTTCTATAAAAATATTTGCAATTATTATATTGTTACAATTATTATTATGCGTGAAAGATATAGAAAAAAAAATTCATGTATTTGCTATGAAATCCAATCAACATTCTTGTTATAGTATATCCAGTATGTAATATCAGGAATAATCAAAATCCACTTTCACTTATAATATAATGCCAACAATAAATTAAATATTTCCCATACACATTACGACGTTTATCAGAATACAGAAATGCAAACGCGCAAACATTCATGCATCGATACATGCATATATATATATATATATATATATATCTACCATATACCATTTTCAGGAAAAAAATGATTTAACTGTGGTGGAACTGGAACAGGTATATATGTATGCATATATATATATATATAAACTGACGAGATCGATATATATATATATATATATATATATATATATTATTTTATGTTGGAACGTGCCAATATATATTGAAAGAAAAAAACATTGAAGGTTGACAACAAGGGGAGAAACATAACAGTCTCAGGCAGCAATTCGCATCGGCCGTGATCCGCGGACGCAGCGTCATGGACGATCACGAGCTGCAGACGCAGACGCAGAAGCAGCAATCGCAAACGCTGCAACTGCCTTTGGCAGCAGCTGGGAGGAGGGACATGGCCAGAATCGCGATTCTCCTGGCCGCCGCCGCCGTGCTGTGCCTGATGTCTTCTTACCATTCCTCGCTTCCTTTCCAGTCGCTGCAGGTTTTAAACTTCTCCGCGATTGGACCGCCGGATACCCATGAAGTGAGTTCCGTACACGTGGATTAGAACATTTCAATGTAAAAGGATACAAATTTATTTGCAAATCGAAGCATATTTTCTTGAAATTTTTCTTTTTCTTATTTTTTTTTCCGCAAGCATTAAATATTTGGAGATTTTCTTTTTATTTTCCATTTCGGTTTTTTGAGCTTATCTAACAATTATAATCTAACCTCTAGTCTATAATTATTTACAAGTGAAATAATCAATCTTCTATATTTTTTTAATTGTGGGTTTTGAAATTCGGTTTCTATCGAAATAAAACCGAACCAAATCGAAACAAAATACAGGTTTGAAAATGTTTTTTGATGGAATTTGCTGATGTTTTATCAAGTTTCGGTCTTAGTTCGGATTGAGAAAATGCGACTAGATTAAACAGAAATCTAAAATTAATTTTATTATAATTAATAAATTTGTTTAATCAATAAATGATTTTATTTTTTTATTTTTTTATGGTAGGGTAGAGAACTGGAGAGAATTCTCCGTGATGCGTCGACGGAAAACAAGACGGTGATAATAACGACGTTAAACAAGGCTTGGGCCGAGCCCAATTCGATGTTCGACCTATTTCTCGAGAGCTTCCGTGTGGGGCAAGGCACCCATCACCTTCTCCGCCACGTCGTGGTCGTCTGTCTCGACGCGACGGCGTTTTCACGGTGCTCGGAGGTCCACGATCGCCGCCGCTGCTACTTCCTCAGAACCACCGGAACCGATTTTTCCGGCGAGAAACTGTTCATGTCTCAGGATTATCTCCGGATGATGTGGAGGAGGATCGATTTCTTGGCCTCCGTTCTTCAGCTCGGATATAACTTCCTCTTCACGGTATCTACATAAATAATTAAAAAGCAACAAAGATTTGCAATATTTTTTTTGGTATGAAGATTTGCAATATTTATATATACAAACTTTAAAATTTTTACCAAAATACATAAAATCTGCATACATTATAATAAACATACATAACATTTATAAATTATCTCGGATCCAAGGTGATTTTATGACAATATTTACAAAGTTATAATACGTTGGTAGAAAATTCAAAATTTATGTTTTTATATGATATGTTTTGATACTTTATATTTTTCTAGACGATTGTTTTTAAAAACATAACCCATCAAAACTCGAATGAATACATTGTTAGATTTTAACATTTTTGATCGTTGCAGGACGCGGATATCGTGTGGCTAAGAGATCCATTCACTCGTCTAGACGCAAACGCAGATTTCCAGATCGCTAGCGATTTCTTTAACGGCGATTCCAACAGCGTCAGAAACGCCGTGAACGGAGGATTCACGTTTGTCAGGGCGAACAACCGAACTATCGAGTTCTACAAGTTCTGGTACTCGTCGAGGCAGATGTTTCCGGGCAAACACGATCAGGACGTCTTCAACAAGATCAAACTCGGTCCCTACATCGAGAAAATCGGGATCAAGATGAGGTTTCTCGACACGGTTTACTTCGGAGGGTTCTGTCAACCGAGCCGAGACATGAACAGAGTCTGCACAATGCATGCCAATTGTTGTATCGGGCAAGCGAACAAGGTCAAGGATTTAAGACAAGTGCTCGAGGATTGGAGGGTTTACCTGTCGGGGCATCGCCGGGAAATGAGGTGGCGATCGCCGGAGAATTGCCGAAGAAGTATGAAGAAATGAACAAAAAGTTAAAATCATTTCATATATACCTTCAGTGGTAATAAGGCTATATTTATATATATTACATCAACATCAACATCAACATCGCCTTAGTCCTAAGTTTATTTAAGGTTGACCGCATGGATTCTTCGTTTCCACTCATTTCGGTTTTAGGTTAGTTCTTTCAGAATTTGTAACAATTACAAATCGTTCCTAATTACACGTTCTCAAGTAAGCCTAGGTCTACCCTTTTCCTTTCTCTTCACCCTCATTCCTATACTCTCCACTTTTCTAATCGGCGCATCCATCGACCTACATTGTACATGTCCAAACCATTTTAAACGTCACACTCTTAACTTCTCTTCTATACCTATTACACTTATTTTCTCTCTAATAGTCTCATTCCTAATTCTGTCAATCTTTGTGTGTCCACACATCCATCTCAACCTTCTCATCTTGGCCACACTCATTTTAGACATATGTTGTCCTTTCGCTGCCCAACATTTGCTACCATACATAAATGCGGATCTTATAGAGGTACGGTAGAATTTCTCTTTTAACCGTAAAAGAACCTTACGATCGCAAAGAACCCCATTGCTTGTCCCCATTTTATCCATCCAACTTATATATATTACTTAACAGAAAATTTGTCATGTTCTTGTTCTTGTACAAAAGAACCACACATACTCTCAAAATCTTGAACTGAACATCTAAACGTGAAGAAAACCGTCTTTCTTCGCATTCAATAATGCAATACACAAACCATATCTTTACACAAAAAATGCAAGAATAGTAATGTATATACTCGTGGGGAAATGCGTACCGGGATCATCGCTTATTTGTGGGCTTGGTGGGTCGGATGTGGTTGAGCCGTCGGGGTTGCTGATGTGGACATGACACGGAGGCGTCGGGCTATCTCGGTGAAGGAAGGGCGAGCCACAGGGTCGGGAGCCCAACATTGCTCCATTAGAAACCTCCATTCCGAGTCACAGTAGCTTGGCACGGTTGGTCTCAGCGTGTTGTTCACTATACCCCCTGCTTATTCATTTGGCAAAGCAAGATCCGTCATTGGGCTACGAACTAGGTCGGTTTGTGCAAAGAACAATGGCAGCAAGAAGGGGAAACAAAGAATCCCGAAACGGGTTTTTCTTGAATGCAACACAAGCTAATTGCTTGATTCGTGATACTTTCGCGTAATATCTATGTTTTATGTGGTCGGAAAAGAAACCAGAGAAGGATAGAGAAATGACAAGTACATACCTATAATTGCCCCATAATGCATGTTTGCATAGGGCTCCTCACTAGTAAGAATCTCCCACAAGACAATACCGAAAGAGAACACATCAACCTGTTTACAAATGTAAGTATATTATCCATGGCGAAACGTTACTCAAAACGTCATCCAGAGGGCGATTAATGAAAAAAAAGAAGAAGAAGAAAATGATCAAATAGGGCCGTTCGATCAGGCAGCCATGAACCTTGGACGCAAGCTTTTTCCGATATTTGACCAAACACATAAAGAGAGTATACCCTGTGTATTATATTTGCAAGTTTCAAGACAATACACCTCACAGTATGTGTGGGAGCAGCATTATGTTGTGTAGAAGCACGTATGTTTGTCTATATGTCTATTTTTGTGTGTATGTATATATGTATGCATATATATATATATATATACACATACATTCTATATGTGTACCTTTTCAGATACTTTACTGCTGCTACCACTGAGTAGCTCTGGTGCCATCCAAGGAAGGGTTCCCCTCACACCGCCAGTGACCAAAGTGTTTCTTTTTATCTTCTGACAATCCGAAATCACCGACCTACACAGATGAACCATTTCCTTGTTGTTTCACAGTCATTATAACACACAACTTTGAAATTTTCTGTTTTTATTTTGTTGTTCGTTCGTGTGATATTTTATATTTACCTTGCATATTGGACGTGCAGGATCTTTCAAGTTGACGAGCAAGTTGTCACACTTCAAATCAAAATGAACTATATTCTTCGAGTGCAAATATTCCATTCCAAAAGCCGCGTCCATTGCAATGATAAGGCGCTTACGCCGATCAAGTTGTCTGTATTTCAACACAATTGTAAAAAAATGGTACATAAGTTTCAGGAAAATGAAGATATTTGGAAGAAATGAAACGTATAACATGTCTAAGTGAGCCATTCACCATGAACTCTGTCACTGTAGCTAAAGTTCCCCCTGGCCCATCTTGAACCACGCCGTAAAATGCCACGACGTTCGGATGGTGGAGCTTGGAGAGAATTTCAGCTTCATGCCAGAACTCCGAGGTCTGAAATATTTGAATCAATAGTGGCGAAAATGGAAGACCGGAAACTCGAAACAAATGTCATTGGCCATAGAAAGGATAATGTAAACCTTTGCATGAAAAACGGTAAAGAAGAAATTTTGGCTCTGCATTCTAGACGATAGATTCGGGCTAGAAAAGCAAAAAGAGAAATATATTCTATGAGCAAAAAGCCATTATGATGAAAACAACAATGCTTCTGTGAGGAGTGAGAAGCGTCTTTTTATGAATAAGGTTCTTGCGATCGGGAAAGAAAGCTCACCAATCTCTCTTGCTCAGATGATCGACCGATAAAACAGCTCTTCTTTATCCGCTTTATCGCAACATCTGTACCCCTCCATTTTCCATGATAAACGGTTCCAAATGTACCAGACCCTAATTCTTTCAGTTCTTCCAAATCCTCATTTTTTATGATCTGCAATGACAACAATCATTTCATTGCTCACCATCCAACATCAACATCGCCTTAATCCCAAGTTTATTTGGGATCGGCCGAATGAATTCTTCGTTTCCACTCATTCTGATTTTTAGTGGGGAGTTGCTCCCCCATCCACCGGAAAAAAAAAACACACGATATAGAGTTACAAGAGATTTTAGAACTGTGACTGTTCCAGTTCAGAGTTGGACCATGAACCCACAGACACCACAATGTGACATCCAAAATGGAAGAGACAGTGAAGATGATGTGCTTGGATATTGTAATTGATGTTTTGACAGAAATGAAAAAAAAACCTTCGAGGTACATAAGAGGGTGATCTCCCAAAGACCTCCGTGTAAGAGAAAACTGACGAATCAATGCCACTGGGTATAAATCTAACATGCCCTTATCGAGATGTTTCCCAGTTAACTTTTTTTATATTCAACCATATACGCTTTCTAACGTCAATGGAAAATATACCTGCAAAGACCTGATGTCGAATTCTCCAGCCATTAGGTCAATGAGAGGTACATCAATATTCTGCATATTTCAATTCCCCACAACAGAGTCAAGCAAAACTAATGAATACAGCTATGCAGAAAATATTACAGAGATCCTTTTTTTCTTTCGGAAAGTATGAAAATTTAAAGATTCTCATGTTCAAGATAAAAAACAGCGAGCTTACCACAGTTGCACCTATGCTTTCATCACCCTTGAGCTGTGACTGACCATAATCTTGTTGTGTGTCTATTGGGTTGGAACCAGCTACAGTAGAAACCTCCGGTTGGATATTTCCGTCGTAATGGATTTGTGGATTTATATGACTCAAAGCAACTTTCTCTGACTTCACTGCAGTGGTGGGAAGCTGTAATCGATAGGAGCTCCACCGGTGTTTGTCATGGTGGTCGGAAATCCTGGATGGTCCTGATCCATAAGGGACAGATCCTTCCTAACAAACTCATCTTTTCGAAAATATGACCAATTCTTAGGTTCGTAATTTTGAACATTTAAACTCATGCCAGCTCCATCGCCATGCAATGGACCTAATCCAGAAAAGTTCAGAGCATCTTCTTTTGCTTTCGAGAATATATCAGCAAGAAAATCACGGGGAAACCTATCGTTTATATCAACAACTATGTCCCCCTGCTCTGGACTGCCAGGGCCAGTAGCAAGTTGTCCTCGTGGAGTGGCATTGGCTGAAGTCTCTGAGGAGCTTACTTGTTCCCGAGTCACAGAATCCCAGTTATTTTCAGCCATGTTATTATTCCATCCGAATTCTGGCTGCTTTGGAGCAGTAACATGGGACTGGTCAACATAGGTGCTTTCAGCTCTTGTTAGCTGATTCAAGAAAGCTGCCTCATTTTGATTCATGGACCGGTCTTCAAAATTTTCCTTGCTCCGCATTGTTCCTAGATCATTCATGGGATGACGTAAATGTTGCTGTTCAGGTATCTGTCCAATTGATTCGGGACCATCCTTAGAAATGGACGAGTTTATCTGGTCGATCTTGCTACTAGATTCTTCACTCTTTTCAAAGTGTGATGTCTTATCTTCCGCTGTCCAGGTGCTTTTAGAAGATACTTTGACTGGCGGAATAGAATGCACATTCTGAGAACCCATACTTGCATCGTGAAACTTTTCAGTTGATTCGCTGATAGGCTGGAAAGGATCAGTACTTGTTTGGGCCATCAGAAACTGAGAACCGAGGGAATCATTAGATTTAGACAAACGATTGGTTTCTGCCTGCTCTTGCAGAATGCACTCAGAATGAAAAACCCTTTGATGAATCACAGGCTGGTCACAGTTGTTTAAATTAGATGAATCGCCACCTGAAATTACATATCCAGATGCTGAGAATCCTCCGGGCAGGGTAGATTGATCTTCCTGATTTGCTTTCTTGCCATCAATTGCTGTTTCAGAAGCACCTGGGTTCTGAACAAGGTCCTGGGATTTTCTAAAACTTTTTTCTGGCAAAATGTAGGAATTCATATCTGGTGTTGAATTGGCTACTTGTGTGACAATCAGAGTTTCTTCCTTGGAGACATTATCAGGGGCAGTATAATCTCTAGACACTGAAGAAATACCATACTCACTAACCCTCGGATTTGAAAATTCTCTCTTCATCTTCGGCTCCGTTGCGGAAATATTATTCTCCATAGCAGCAGACACAATAGCAGGTTCATCTACTTTATGAAATGAGCCATCTCTTTTCAATTGGACCTCTTTAAGCAAAGGGTCTGGATCTTGTGCATGAATCATTTGTTCCTCACGTAAAACAGCCTGCTGGGTCTGATGTTGATGGAGAGGTGCAGGCCTTTCAAATGGCATAACAGGATTCATAGCATGAGGACTATAACCAGACAGAGGTTGGTATTCTGAACTTGCAATTGGAGCTGATGTGCAAACTGGGTGGTTAACAACTCCACCAAGGTGTACTTGCTGAAC